GGCGCTGCGAGGGAGACAAGCCAGAGGCCATCCAGGGCTGCCACATGGCCCTCTGCCCAGGTGAGAGGAGGGGGAGGTTGCTGGAGGTGGCACTGGGATGAGGCACACGCTGGTGGGGATCAACCTTCACGCACGTCTCCAGCCCATTGTGGCGTCAGGAGGTGCCAGCGGAGAAGGTCAGGTTGGACATCAGCTGCTGGCAGAGAACGGATTAAACACCAGCCAGAATATTTCCCTTTTTAGTTCTTTACCCTGATATTGTCTGGTTTGGGGTTTTCTGGCAGTTGGAGGGTGTGATGAGCTGAGGGTACAGTGGAGATGGGCACCCTGGGCGGTTTTTGGGTGGCTGAGGTGCTGGGCCAACTGGGTGTTCCCCAAGGGACTTCATCGCTAAGGAAATCCCTTAAAACAAAGCAAATCCCTCACCAAAACACCCTCCCAAGCTATTTTGAGTGCCCCCAGCCTCCTGTGGCCTCTGGGCATCGTGGTGCTCTCTCAGCAGGGAAGCTCTCTGGCATCACCGCCAGTGCCGACGCCGGTGACCACAGCCCCACCAAAGGCCAGCGGGTGCCCCAGGACGGAGCCAAAAACCCTGTTAGCAAGATCTCCTCTAGTAAGTGTCCCTGCCTGTGTGAGGGCAATGCTTCCTGCAATAACCCTCCCGAGGCCATCACCTCCCTGTGGGAAATGCAGGCAGCTGGCAGTGGGGACACAGCCAGCAGTGCTTCTGGGGAGTTTTACCCTCGGCTGCTCATCCCTGGTGCCTCTGCTCCAAAGCCTGCAGCTCGGTTGCCATCTCGTGGAGCCCAGGCTCTTGCAGTTTCTGTGTTGCATTCCTTTTGCCTCCCAGATTTTATGCCCTCTTTATCTTGGAATTTTTTTTGCTTTTTCTAGCTTTTGCCCCTTGCTCTGAGCAAGAGTCTTTCCTACCTGGGGTGAGGCGCATCCCGCTCCGATGTAGAGTGCTGGTTTGGAGCATCCCTTGTTCTCTCTTTTTTTCCCCTGTGCACAGAATCCTTGAGTGCTATGGCTTTGTTTTCCAAGTCCCTCTTCCTCCCTTGCTTTGTGGATAGGCAGCACCCTGAAAGGGCACCTTGTTGCCTTTGGGGCTGTTGCAAAGGTTCAAGAGTGGGATTTATCTTGTGCTGATGCTGCTGTCCCTCTCCAGGGGAGCCTTGCCTCGGGGACAAGTCCATCTTCTGCCAGATGGAGGTTCTGGCTCGCTACTGCTCCATCCCTGGATACAACAAACTCTGCTGTGAATCCTGTGGCAAGAAAGCCTCCTCCACCACCAGCTCAACCCCCGTCACTGGCCCCAGCGCTCCCTCGGGAATCACCACTCCCAGCCCCGCTCCGGCACTCTCCCCATACCCCACACCGGGTGAGGACCCCACTCCAACACCTGGGATATCCAGCAGTGGTGCTTTTCCTGGGGGGCTGCCGGCCCCGAGCGAGCCGAGCAGGGGCCAGGCAACCAGGTAACCCCCTCGGGGCCACCTCACCACGGGGCAGGGGGAGCCCTTCTCCCTCCTTCCCTCCCTTTTCCCCCTTCTTCTTCCTCTCTCCCCCCACTTCTAGTGATGGTTTTCGTGGGTGGCACTGCCAGGTTTGGAAATGACCTGGCTCCACACCCAGAAATTCCCAGGAAAACCACTTATTTCTTGTGATCCCCCTTGCCCTCCCGACTGTGGCATTTTTCTGACAGTGCCGTGGAAAAAAAAGGTGAAAAGGAGCAAGAAAACACTGTGGGTAGACAGGCTGCTTCCTCCCAAGGTGCTAAAAAGATTTGGGAAGAGAGTGGCTTTAATATTGCTTTTTCCTTTCCCTACTCCAAGCAGCAACACAGGAGAGGAGGGTCCTGGCTTGGCAGCTCAACCCCAGAGCTTAGGGGTAGCAGTGGGAGGATACTGGGAATCTGAGGGGGCAAGGAACTGGAGGGAGGTGGTGAGGGGAGGGGGAATTGTGGGAAAATCCCCAAATGCTGCTCTGGGCTGTCCCTGTTGGGGTAGAGAGTTTTCGAAACCTATCTGGGAGAAGGTGGAGCGTGAAAAACATAGAGCAGCTTCTGTCCTGGAGGCAGGAAATGATCCAGGAAATTCCAATGTGAGCAATAAGAACCAGGTCAAAGACCAAAAATTGATGTAAAAAATGCCTGTCACTTGGGAGTGACTTTTTTAGCCAGTACTGCCCTTGGCCAGCCTTGAGCTGATACTGATGCCCAGTCTCCCCAGGACAACCAGCCTCATCCCTGCACCTTGTACCCAGTGCCTGTGGGGCATCAACACCTGCTGGAGGGAAATGGAGGTGACTGGGAAGCAGGAAGTGGATTTTAGGGGCAGTTACAAAGAGAGGAGGGAGGAAGATTCATCTGCATCTTTTGTTGCGTGGGAAGGAGTGGAAGGGGGGTGATTAATGCCATTAAAAATTATTGTGCCAAGTACTAAAGGTATGCACAGCACTTTAGGAGCCTCAGACTGGGCACACCTTGCCAGGTGTCAGGCCAACTCTGGGCACAGGGTCTACCTGGAGGAGTTACAGTCCTTAAAACCTCCCCAGAATGGTGTCCCTGAGGGGGCTGCCCTGGTTTTGGTGTTCATGGCTGTGCAGCCTCCCAGCTGAGGGCATTGGGCACCCCCAGGTGCAGTGGCAGGGGAAGGGGGGTATCCATGGTGGTGAGCACTGCCCTAGGGAGGAGGATTTGGGCACAGAGATGGAGTCTGGGGAAGGCAAGGCTTGGCAGATAGACCTGTTTGGCACTGCAAAGTACAGAATGTGTTGGCAGCACGTGTGTGGTGTGGGTGCATCCGCTGGCCCTGTTGGTGCTGCTTCCCTGGTATCCAAGGAGCAGGATGGGGCATCCCTAGGGACAGTGTCTGTAAGCTCTTCAGGTGTCTGGGGCTTGCTGGTAAAGTGGCCTGGGGTGACTTTTCTGGTCTGGCTTGGATTGCAGCAGGGGAGGGGTTGAGATACCTGCTTTGGCTGAAATGGATGGAGACCCCTCTGTATTCCTAACTGGACACTGCCACACTCCCCCAAAGCTTCCCAGCAGCATAAAAAGGGCTGAAGAGATGTGAAGAGGGTGGCTTGTTCACCCTACTGCCCCCAGATCGCTGCCAAGTCACGGCTGGACACACGTTTATCTAACTACTCTCAAAGCACCTGAGGCTGCAGGTCCCCTGCTCCCGGGTGCTGCCCTTTGGCATTAGGTGGGCATCCCAAAAGATAGGAAGAAAAAGCCCCCCATCTGTCTGAGCCAAGCAACTGGCACACCTTGTGGGAGTGGGCAGTGGAGGGTGCCTGTGGGGTGCCCAGATCCAAGTCGTGCAGGTATTGGCACCCACAGGACCCACGAGATGCTGTGGGTGTGCCAGGGCGGGATTCATCCCTCAGGTTGCCGTGCCCCTTGCCAGCCTCTCCACTGCCCTCCACGGGAGTGCCAGCATTTATTTATTGTGCCAAAGATAATGCTTCGTTTACTGTCCAAGGAGCATAAGAAAAAGACCCCCTTCCCCCTCAAAAATGGGCTGTGATGTTCTTCCTCCCAAATTCCCAGCTGCACCCCCAGTCTCCCCCCCTCTTCAGTGCTGGCCTGGGCATTGGTACTTTATTGCATTAGGAATATTTGCAGTGGTTCCTTGCTGTACCTCGGAGCAGGGGCCCCTCACACCCCACAGCTGGGGTCCCCTGGGGGGAATTTAGGCAAGGGGGGCTGCGCTGCAGGTGCTAACCCTGACCTCAGGCTGAGAGGTGGGGGAGATTCAAAGCAGGGTGTGATAATTCCCCACACACACACACTGCTCTGGGGTGGTGATGCTGCAGGGCTGGCACCCAGCACTGGGTGTTTCATGGAATCCTGGAGTGGTTTGGGTTGGAAGGGACCTTAAAGCTCATCTTGTTCCAATCCCTGCCATGGGCAGGGACACCTTCCACTAGCCCAGGTTGCTCCAAGCCCCGTCCAACCTGGCCTTGGACACTTCCAGGGATGGGGAATTTATTCCAGCTGAGGGCAGGCTGAGCTTGAATAGCTCTGGCTACACAGGGATTTGATCCTGTCTCCAGGAGGAGAGGATGACTCTAGTCCCCTAGTCCCCTTCATCCTCCTGGGCCTGGCAGAGCCATCGTGTCATTCCTGTGATATAACCCTTGTCCAGTGTTACCACGATGTATAAAATTTTGTACATATGAGATTCAGAGCTTTTTAACTTTTAATATTTATTAATTTTGGTTTTTTTTTTCTTTTTGGAACTCTAACATAATGTAAAAAAAGAAAAAGAAATCCACATAAAAATCTCTTGCTGCTAATTTATTTGTGGGGTGGGTGTGTAAAGGGGGAAATACAAATGGTTATTGAAATGGATTTATTTTACGTTATTTCAACCCAGCCACTCCTCCTTGTCAGCCAGAATTTCACATTGCTGTTTTGAGCAGGGGAAAAACCTCTATGTATATACATATACACACACATAAATAGGTGGTTTGGCCACTGCAAAAATAAATATTGATGTGTTGCTGGTTCAGGCCAAAAAGCTGCTCCTATATATGATGCTGAACACCAGCTGCTTTTGCCAGGGTTTTTAGGTAACTCCTCGTGCAAGGCTTAGTGCAGCCTTGGTTTTCCCATCTTTTGGATGCTCCACTCCATCCTTGAAGCAGAAGCACGGTGCTGGGAGAAGAGAATGTGTTCTCTGTGCCCAGGGTTGCTTGGTGGGTGCACTGTCTCACCCCATCACTGGCAATGAGTGGAGAATCATGGAATGGTTTGGGTTGGAAGGGACCTTAAAGATCATCTTGTTCCACTAGACCAGGTTGCTCTGAGCCCCATCCAGCCTTGCTTTGAACCAGGAATGAGTCTCCAGCTCTGGCCACTTCGCTCCTGCCCGGGCAGAGCCCGTCTCTCGCAGCTCAGGGCCCCGCGGCGGCAGAGAGGTGCCGGTGGAGGTGCTCGATGAAGTCGGCTTGGGACTGTGGCAGGACACGGTGAAGCACGGCTGCGGGGATCCAGCCCTGTGGGAGAGAAAGCACCCCCAAGGTTGGTCCTGCCGGGAGGAGGAGGCTCTGCACAGCGGGGTGTGCCCCCCTCGCCGTCCCTGCCCGGGCGGCACTTGCCTTCAGGTCCATGCTCAGGAGCCAGGTGAGGCGGGTCCGGCCGGGGTCCCCCGCCAGTGGCTGCAGGACGATGCAGCTGAGCCGGGACTCGGCCCTGCAGGGGAGCAGGCAGTGAGGGTCCCCCCGGGGGGCACACGGGGGCAAGGAGGTCCCAGAGCAAACCCAGCGGGGGCGCAGCCCTTGGCGTGCCTCCCGTGCCGTGCTCGGTGCCCGCGTTCAGGGCTGCAGCGGTGCCCCCCCTCTGCAGAGACACGATACCCCGTGACGGTCCTTTTTGGGGGAAAGGGGTGTTACCTTACCTGATGCACCCTTCCTGCGGGGGCGGCGGCTCGGTGTGGGTGGCAGTGCCCACCAGGTAGGTGGCCGCGCCCCTCCTCCCGCGGTGCCGCACGCTGACCAAGTCCCGCCGCCCCACCAGGCTGGGAATGGTGACTTCGTGTGTCACCAGCGTGTCCGTCCCGACGCGCCGCAGCACCTGCCGGAGCAAGGAACGTGCCAGGAATCAGGATTAGGCTCCCTGTGGCTGCCCCTCCGGGGACATTTCTGACACCCCCTCACTCCTCCCCCCAAGCCACCGTGGGGACAGCGGCGTGGGCAGAAGCAGCAGCGAGAAGAGGTTTTTGGGGCTGGCACCTGGTAATAATTAAATTCCAGTCTTCAAGAAGGAAAAGGGATGATTTTGCAGCTTTTGGGGTTTTTTTTATTGTTTAATCTGTGATGGGAGCTTCTTGATGCTGTTTCTTTTCCAGAAGGCACAGGTAAGTGGTAGCAATAAATAAGCAGAGGCTGGGGAGCATCTGAGCCAGCCTGGATGAGCAAGGGGAGACTTTCTGGGGCTGGCAGCTTCCTTAGGGATATGCTGTAATTTGGGAACTGAGAAAGAAGCCCAGGACAACACAAGCTTCCTACAGCGTGAATATATTTGATTTTGCCTCTTTTTTTTGAGCTATCTGATTCCTTTGACAGTAGAGTCTGAGTAATGTCAGATTCCCTGATATGGAAAAACCTCTGTGAACTGGCACCATGAGGAATAGAGAGCTTGGAAATGACACATTTACAATGCCGTGCCAGCAAAGCGCATCTCCTCTCCCTGGGGTGATATCCTGCTCTTGCAGGAGTGTGGAATTAGCTTTAATCCTCCAGCAATATTAAAACTGCCCATAAATATGGGGGGTTTGGGTGCTGGCAACCCTGGTAATGGAAATTTTTGGACCATCTGCCCATGATGGCATCTCGCCCCACCTTACCTTCACCTGGCTGAGGTTCGGGTTCCACTGGGGCATCTGCTCCATCCTCTCAAAGAGCTCCTGGTGCAGCTGTGCCACGGGCACAGCCAGGACCACCTCTGCCCGAAACACCCTGCCGACCCCGGGGAGGGCAGCGCTGGACACGGCGGCACTGGTGTCCTGGGGGAGCAGAGACCCCCAGTCAACCCCAAAACTGGCACATCTGAACCATGCCACTATAGCCCTGGAAGTGCTCAAGGCCAGGTTGGACAGGGCTTGGAGCAACCTGGGCTAGTGGAAGGTGTCCCTGCCCATGGCAGGGGCTTGGAACTGGGTGGTCTTTAAGGTGCCTTGCAACCCAAATCATTCTGTGATTCTGCGAAGCAGATCCTCCCTCCCTGGACTAATCTCTCCCCTTGAGAGCTTTTCTGGCACGAAGCAGCCAAGGCCAGAGGTGGTGAGGGTTTACCAGCACGGGCTCTGCCTGCCAGCTGGTGTGCTGCTGCAGGATGCTCAGTGCTCGCTGCAGGGCCCTTTCTCCCTGGTGGATGTAGGAGAGGTCCACGCTGGAGGACTGGCTGGGGCTGACACCTCTGGTGGGCTCGGGGCAGGGAGCTGCAGGAGGAAGGCAGAGCAATGTGAAACACCCTCCCAGCCCCCCTTTGCCTGTGGACATGGCTGTGGGTACAGAAGTACAAAGGAGCTGGAGCAGGAGAGGCTTGCTTACCCAAAATCTTGGATCTTCTCATGCAATTGGTCCCCTGCTGGGCAGAGGTATGGTTTGGTCCAGAAAACCTTGCTGGCTTCCATCTGCTGTGTCTGTGCTGACTGCTTGGAAAGCTCTTTGAAATTGCTTTCCAAAGCAATTCCCAGTAACACCGTGGTACAAATTGCGCTTTGCTCGGGTATTACTAACATCACACAGGCAGCCTTTGGACCGAGCCACACTTCGAAAAAAGCAGATAAATTTGCCAATTTTCAAGTCTTTAGGTAAGTGGTGGAACTAGGGACACAGCAGGAGTGCAGCAAAACACAGCTAAGTGCCTCTGACCTCTGCTAAAAGCTTTGGCTGCCTCTACAGTGAGGAAATGCTATTTACCTTCCCACAACCTCAGGCTCTCCCACTAACCCAGCTTGCCATCAGCACAGGGAATGCTATTAAGCCAGCAGAGAGCTGGAGACCAGCCCAGCAGTGAGAAGACACTTTGTCCCCCAAAACATGGGTCCAATTTTGCGGGAGGGGGTGCATTTTAATGCACATCCCTCCATCATGTGCTGCAAGGAGGCTGTGAGCAAGGCTAGGAAAGGTGGGACCCACAGGCCCGGGCTGAGCTTACCTGTGTCCTTCCCCATCAGCTTCTGAAGATAATGAGGAATTTTGGAAGGCAGGCGATGGGATCCTCTTGCCACCAGCCCTCTGATGTCCTTCTGTACTGCTGCAACAGCTGCTGTCTTCAAGCCTAAGGGGAGAGGCGGGTGGGCTTTGGTGAGCACAAAGCGGGCAGGGATGATTCCATGGTGCCCCACAGCCCTGCTGGGAGGTCATTGCCCTGGGCCCAAGACTACCCCGTGCATGATACAACACAGGGGGACCACAGACGTGACATTCCTAAGGAGACACCCATCCGATGCAGACTCGACATGTCCTTTAGGACCCTCTGTCCTGCCTGTTTTTCCCGAGCTTGGAGGGGAGGTGAGCGGGGCTTACCGGGCAGGCGGCGGAGGGGATCGTGGGCGATGCCACAGCACAGCTTGACGGTGGCTTGCAGCATGGCAGGAGCAGGGAGACCTCCGGGAACGCGCTGCATCCCGCCGTGCCTTTATAGCCCGCCCGAAGGACGGCACCTGATGATAGGAGCACGCTGCCAGACAGCAGCTGGGAATACGGAGGCTCAAGGACAAGGCAGGCGAGAGGAGGGGCCGGAGGGAGCAGCCAGACTTCTCTCTGGATGTGCACTCCCTGCCTTTCTTCCTGCCCTTTGCAGGCAGCTATGAATGAACTCCAGGGCATGGCCAAGAGGGGACACTCGAGTGGTCCCCAGTGCCACTTTATTGAGGACTGTGGGGGTAAAGGCAAACTGGTGGCACTTACAGGGAGGGAAGGATGGGTTAGGAGATGACAGCAACGTGGCTTTGCTCTCAGGGAGCGTGGAAGCTGCTGCAAAACCATGCTCATGGAAAATGGGTGCTTCCTATGAAAACTTCATAGATGTGGTGGTAGTGATTGATGCTGCTGTAATCCCTCAAACAGTGCTTTATTTTCCTCTTTTCTACTTCACTCCCTTCTAAATGTCTCCTGCAGGCCTCGGGTGCTCACAGTGATGGTGGGATCACTACATCTTTTGGTAGGAAGTTCCTCAGTCCTTCCCCTTGTGCTTTTAATGGCCCCTCTTAAAAGGTTAAACCCAAACCCAACCATGTCACTCCTTAAAATACAACCACACTGGATTCCTCTGGATCTTTGCAGCACTTGTTTAACAATTTCATTGTTAAACACTTGTTTTTATAAATGATTGCAAATTGCAAATCATAAAAGTCATCCAGTGTGTAATAATTTCAGTTGTGTATAGCTTTTCTGGCTTGCTACAGTGACTACACACCACATCTTAATTAACCATGTGTCAACGTCAAGAGCAAAGTACACAATATTAAAGTCCACATTTTCAAGTGCTTTGATTTTTGCCATGGAAAAGCTCTTCCACCTGTCTGTTGCCAAGTGGTTGGATGCTTCCCTTTCACATAGCAGACCTAGGGCTCACTGTACCTTCCATCTATGAGGCTGCAACAGCCAAAATATTTGGGCAGAGAAGGCTTTTCAGCTTTTAAAGGGATAGGAAAGACCTCAAGGGTTGCAACTGGTGTGGTTAGGGTCAGTGGGTTTCTTGCCAGGCCAGGTTGGACAGGGCTTGAAACAAGCTGGTGTGGTGGAGGGTGTCCTGGCCGTGGCAGGAGGGTGGAACGAGGCGAGCGTAAAGGTCCCTTTTGAACCAAACCATTCTGTGATCCTTTGATTCTATGAGATGGGCCAGAGCAGGTGTTTGTCCCCGTGTCACTCTTTGTACCCTTGTCCCACACAGAATTGGGACTCTGGCTGTCTCTTCAAACACTGCTAATACCCGTTTCCCTATAGAAAGGAAAATACTCGCATTCTTGGCCAAGATGGAGTGGGTAGAACAATTTTCTAGGAAAAGACCAGTTTTTTTCCCATGGGTTTTGGACCTGATGTGCCAGAGGGTTTTATCCCAGCCCTGGAGACTTGTTAGCTCGGCTCAGCCAGTTTCCAGGCTCCCTGCCTGACTCACCAGCCCTGGCCCTGAGCTTTCCCCCCAGCTTTTCCTGCAGGGATAACCTCATGGCACAGCTGCTGTGGTTTGCCCAGCTGTGTCCTACTGCAGCTTCACAGCTTTTTCCCTCCATCCCTGATGGCTGGGCAGGTTATAACAGCAACCCTGCCGGCTGCTGCTCCATGGATGCTCCACTGCTTACCCACAGTCTGCTCCAGCGTGACTCCAGAGTGCTGTGACTCCCAGATAAGTGTCCCTGTGCCTGTCCCAGGCTTTCAGGGAAGCCTTGTAGGTTTGTTGGTGTGATGTGCATGGCCCAGGGCAGCTGCAAGCTCTGCAGCAGAGGCTTGGGATATGCAACTGCAGCTCTACATGAGGTTTGCTGATGCCACAGTTCGGCGCTGGGATTCACACCACTGCTTTGGTGAGTTCCAAACCACTTTTTCTTTTAATTTTTCACGGAGCTTGGCAAGTCACTGGGGCCCAGCAGTGAGGAAATACAATCTTTTTATTACAAGCTGCCGAGGAAGGAGAGAGCAGTGGCTGATCAGAGTTCTGCCCCAGCGCTTTAGACTCGGCTCCCAGGGAGAGCTGCTCCCTGCCCATGTCTATGCTCTCACACACATTCCCCTCACTTTTGTGCACTCTTTCTCGTGTTAGTTTTGTCTCTGGAGCCAGCTGGGATAGACAGGCAGATAATGTTTTATCGCCCTGTTTGGTGAGTGGTGTCCATGCGCTCTCCCGAGGGCTGTACGAGATGTCCTGGGAATGGTGTGGCTCGAGGGGGAAAAGAAAATATGGGAAATTGCCTGCGATGGCAAGCCTGGAGGCCAGGAGAGGATGGCATTGCCACCCAGAACCCAGCTCAGGGCGGTAAAGGGCTGCCAGGGGTCAGCCCTGATCCATCACGAAGGTCCCACGACTCTGTGTGCCGATTGCAGGACACCCCTGCGGGGCCGGAGTGGAGGGGCTTTGTCCTGACATCTCTATTAGATTTGGCTGCAGCCACTGGAGGTCACTGCCGATCTGCAGCTCCACGTGCAAAGCCACTCCTGGAGAGGCGGCAGGAGCCCTGCTCCAGCTCCTGGCTCTGGGCTGCTCTGCCTCTCGCCCCTTGCAGGGTCCCTCGGAGCCGGGTAGTGGCTGTCCTGGGGGATCTCCAGCAGGAGTCAGATCCGGCACCCCACCCCTCCCTGTATATCCCTTTCCTCTGCTCATGGATGAAAGGACCGTTTGGGGAGGCTGAGGGAGATGGGGGTGGCTATCCTGGAGAAAAGGAGGCCCGGGGGGGAATGGGGGGGGATTTTCGTACCCCCTACAACTTCCCGACAGGATGATGGAGTCAGATGGGGGTCGGGATCTGCTCCCGGGGAGCAAGTCACAGGATGAGAGGAAACAGCCAGGGGACGTTTAGACTGGACGTGAGGAAAAATTTCTTCCTGGAAAGGGCTGTCAGGCACTGGCATAGGCTGCCCAGGGCAGTAGTGGAGTCACCATCCCTGGGAGGATAAAAGATGTGTAGATCTGGCACTTGGGGACATGTCCAGGTCCCTTTCTGCCTACTTAGACTGAGGTGGCTCCACTCCAGCTCCATGGGCACAATACTGCCTGTGCTGGGTGACTGAGTGAAAGGTCCCTTCTAGGAGGGTTTGGAGCCATTGCCAAAGAAATGAGTGACTTCACTAAAAGGCCCATGTTCCTTCACTGCCTTTGCTGTTTGAGCATCCACCCAGGACTGGGAAAAAAATCTTGGGAAGGGGCCTGGAAAACCTGAGGGGTTTGGTGGCTCAGCAGGAGAGCAAAGCTTCCAGCAGCAGTGCAAACTGGTAAAATCTCTATTGAAACATCATCACCATTTCCATGGGATCTGGAAACACATTCTCAACTACAATCCCAGCTATAGGACCTGGTCCCTCTGGCAGGATAAGACTAGAAGTTCAAAAATTAGGGTAAATCTCAGCTGAATGACAAATCTGCCTCTCTGAATCTCCTTTAGAGAAGGAGAAAGGGGAAAGAGAACAATGGAAAAGGTCCCAAATGGCAAGAGGGTGCTTCTTGGCTTTGTGTGAGGAGCAAACACCAAGGCTGAGAGGTTTGAGGTCTGAGCGGTTCCCCCCAAACACCTGGGAGAGCAGTGAGTTTGGACAGGGACTGTGCAGGTGGTCACTAGGGTAGTGCCTGCCAGGAGGGGTTATAGCATCTCATGGGGATGTAAAACACAGCTGAGCCAGCCCAAATCCTGCCCTGAGACTGGAGGAGTGGGAAATTACAGGCTGCTCCTGGTGAAAGGGTGAGGCTGGGGAGCCAGTGGGACTCTGAGCTGCTATCAAAGCTGCAAAGCTGAGCAGGGCAACAAGGGTGATACAGGCTCCCCCTCCCACGGGCACACAGGGATCCCCCTGTTCAGACCCGAGGGCAAATCCCCTCTCTGTGTCCTTGAGGCCAGCTCTGAGACTGCCCTGTAATCAGCAGAGCCTTGGTGCAGGGGAAGCCCTGAGTCTAAGCAAAAATCTTGGATGGCCTCCAATACCTCTGCAGAAGTTGGCAGGAGAGGGTAAGGCAGGGTCTTTGGCCCCATGGGAACCCCCTCTTGCATGGTTGTTGTCATCTCTAAGGGTGCTCTGGGGGGTTCTAGGAGCAGAGCTGGCCCTCACATCCCTGTTCTGGAGCCCTGATGGGGCATTTAGCCACATGTCTCTGGGGCACCTTAAATACAGACCTAGACAGACCCTGGAGAGCTTTGGTCATGCTGTTCCTGCCAGAAGTGCTTCTCTCTTCTTCCCATCTGTGTGTCCAGAGAAGTTATAAGTGTCAAACAGAGAAAATATAAAAGCACATGGCATTTATTTCCCTACATAACCAAAGCACTGGTAATTAGTGTCCCCAGATGGAAACCCAAACAATTTTCCTCCCCCTAAACCAGGAGACTCAGTGCTACATTGTCAGGCTCATAATTTAAACAATATACTCAATGTCTCTCTTTTTTCCTAAAAAGCACGTTTTATAACACACAAAAAAGGGCTAAAAATATTTCAAATGCACATTATTATCAGGGAGGAATGAAGAAGTACTGCTTTTTCTTCATGAGCCTCCTTCCAGTGCTGGAGAGGTGTTGAGTGGTGGTGGCTGATAACAATCCAGCTCGAGAGCAGAGTGCAAAGTAGAAGAACAATATTTACTCGAAGCTAATTGTGGTTTTCATAAATGGTTGCCAAAAGAGCCCAAATATCAGCAGAAAAGGGAGGCTGCTGTATCTCTTTGTTGCTGGAACGCTGCCTTCTACCATGCAGGGTGGAGGGAATCTTATCTCCATCTGCTGCCTCGATTAAAAGAGAAGGGGAACTGCTGTTCAGGAGATAAGAGAGGCCAGAGGCTTCTCCATTAATATGTAAACTTTGGATCAAAAATGAAGATGAGAGGCTGCAGGCAGGAGTCATCTCTGGATTGATGGGTTTTGAGTCTGCAGGCATCAGCAGAAGGCACATCTAGTATGTGCTGGTCTTGATAAAGAGGAGGAAGAGGAT